GTATACATATGGTTGTGTGTGTGCTATGTATGTCGAATCATAAATGCACACAAGACCTATGGGTTCTATTTATAAGTCACAATGGGAATTCCTTTGTGATGAAGATAGAAAGACATTCTCAGACAAGACACTGTGGGTTCTAGAACTGATGTGTTTCCATTCGAACATCCAACCTGCAGAGCAAACTGGAATGTATTTCACAATTTTCAGCTGCAAAACTTCTGATTTTTTTTTTACACTGTAACTAAAACAATTCATCATCAGAGTTACAGAGATTAGTGCCAAAAGGACAAGAAAAAGAATGTTTGGTAATACAAGATAACACCTTCACTTTATGTTTTATATTTTTATTTCTATATTTATACCTGTAAGATAGCACAGAATAATTGTACATCTTGTCACAGCAAACATCCAGTGTAAAAAGATGCTTCATTGGAGGGGAGGGGGATGTAGTTTTTTTTAAATGCATATAATTTTATAGCTAAAACACCTTTGTAGCATAATTCATTACAGTCAATAACTTTTAGTATAAATAATTTATGAGGTGATGTTAAAGCATAAATTAATATACCTTTTATTTAAAAGAAAAACACTCCAAAACCTGCACTAGGTATTCTGAATCCCCGTGGCATGACAAAGAGAAAAAGCTTAAGCTGAGCACGGCAGAGGAAAAGATTGTATATGTTGGACTTCAGCACCATTTCTAAAGGAGAATGAAGCACATGCGCACACGCGCACACATACATGTTAATACACAGAGAAACACACACCTCCCTTTATGAGCTGCAAAAATAAACATGGCTTTTTCCTTCTAGTGCTCATACTTGGATGATATTCTGTATTTCAGCAAAATTTACTTGCTTAAAAATACTTTACCTGCTCTTATTTCTGTATGGAGTCCCTGAGACATGCCCCAAACTGGTTAGTAATCAACATTACCATTCACAGAAACTGGTCCACAATCAACTCCATTCTCTCAAGAGAAACAGATATTTTATTACACAACCTAACTGTCTATTTCTTCAAGCTAGATCTATTCCCTGGTTTCTTTCTTTTACAAGTCAAGGGTTGTTTCAAGATAACTCAGCCTAGTCTATGGCACAAAGCGTGCACTTTTCTGGCAAGACAGATTTGGGAATATTACCATTCTATACATTTAATAATGGACATCGGTCCTAGAAGGTAAAGACACACATTAGTTGTTCAAGCTCAACATACGAATCCAGTTCATATGTTTAGAATGTGAAAAGGTGTAAATATAGGCTTGTACATTTAATGCGTTACGAGTATAATAGAATTGTTTTCATTCTTTTTTTTTAGCCCTGAGTGTTTTTTTCTCTCACACACACATTTCAGGTCAAACTGGATACTACATATGTGGGGTCCATAAATCTCAGATTCCCTACAGTGGAGGGTGGGGGGAATCTTTCCACTTGCTGCCCTCCAGTGGCAATGCTGAAGAGGCTACAATACTTTCTTTTGCTTTTCTAGAAATCCTATCACTTGGAGACACCTTGAAAGCTGTGGCACACAACCAGAACAGCAGTGGAAAGAAAGAAGGGAAGAAAGGCACCATTTATACAGATCAATTTGCTACAGAAATAAATTAAGTTGTTTTTCAGTCACAAGCCTTGTTTTAGCTTTTTTCAACATCAATGTACAAAAACTGTACAATTTGTTTGTAAGATAAGAACTGATTGTTAAGGAAAAAAAACATTTTGGAATTTTCTCATGAGCATCATAATTCAGAGAAAGCATTATTTTCAAGCTATTTTATTAACATGCCAAAAAAATGCAAAATTGGTCCCTCTTCAAGGGCCATTTCTACTTTTCAGGGAAATGCCATTTAAATAATATTATTATGTCATATTATCTGCCTTGACCACACATGAAATATATTCTGATTATGACACATATCATATAACTGGATGCTAGTTCAGGCGCCTTAACAGAAAAACAAAAGGAATTCATGAAAACATGAAATGTGTGAAATAAAATAAAACCTGTGAATGAAACTTCTCAAGATTCAATTGGGAACTGCAGTCTACAGTGCAACATGAAAAATTTATATTTGGTTGAAATACATTTGAAGACTTTGACTGTTCTGAATTGTAGTTTTTTTTTGGCTGGAGGGAAGAGAGTTTCAAAAGGCAATAAACAAGAGCTTAAGAATAACAGTGTTAAGGAGAAACAAGAGCTGTTGCTGAACCCATTGTTATCAACAATGATAATTTCTTAAGGAATCAGAAACCCTACAGTAGTTTGAATTTCTGTTTTTAATTTACACTAAACAGCCTTGCCTATAACCTGAAATATGATCTGCCTCCTGCCAAATTTTAAGTCTTATCCCCTTATTGGGTTTAATCTTCCCATTAGACCATGGCTGATCAGGGGTGGGGTGGGGTGGGGTGAAGTGGGGTAGAGGAGAGAAGACTCCTCCCTTGCTCCCACCTCCCACTTGCAGGTTCCCAAGACACCTTGGGAAACTTCCTCTTCCCCTTTGGGTCGATTGCACTTTATTTATTTTAACTCTGGTTAATAGAAGCAGGCTAAGTTCACCATCAACAAATAACCTTTGTTGTGGAAAAAGTGGATATTCAAAAATGGAAACAAAACGGACTGGAGTCATCCTTGCCCACAATGTGAGAAAGAATAGAAACACAAACCTTGTGTGTGTAAGGAAAGGTGGGTTCATTCATTTCTATCATAATAGATAACCCAGCACAGCCCCTGGGTTGTATTCAGTCAGAACAGGGACATTAGTTAGCTTTGTTTATTAAAGGCAGTGAGGGTGGTAGGGAAAGACTTCAATGGGCCAATTTCCACTGACTACATTATGGCCTTGGAGGCTGCTCTCTCTGGACTTTTAAAAGCAGCTTTTCAAAGGATGTGGGAGGAAAGGTGTGCGGGATACCCCCTTCACTGGATCCTGGCAATCCTGCTACATTTTCAGATATGGGGAAGAAGGCAACCAACCGGCATTGATCAGCATTTTATCATACCCACAAATAAGAGGAAATAATTTCAATTCTTCAGATTTTGTGAAAAGTAGGGGAGAAGAGGAATTAAACTTTGTTCACCAAAAAGACAAGGCCTGAAGAAGAGGGATTGCATTCTGACAACTGTGCCTCATGTCCCAATGTACTATACACTAAAATAAGGAAGAGGTAAGCGGGCTTTACTTCAGCTCCTTCATAGGACTTAAAAGATTTACATTACAAATACATTTTTATCACACTTAGATGTTTATTTATACAAGTCAATTTCAATGCAGGGAAAGAGGGAAGAGTTCACAAAGACCAAAGCACAAATGTCTTTTCTAGCTATGTACCTTTTTTCAAGGGCAAACTCCTAACTCCCTGATCTTTTCAGAATAATAAGCGGCACAGCTTTTTTTTTTTTTTTGGCAGAAGGCAATAATTCTAATTATCAACAGGCAATTCCTGAAAAACTCTTTCCTCAGAAAGTTTGAGAGCAGAAGGACCTGTGTCAGATTTTACACATGAGCACCAGTAAAAGTGGATTCCAAAACTGTTGTAGGAAATAGCTGATTCACTCTCAAAGAAAAATCAGAGTTTCTGTTCCTAATCTAAAACCAATAAAAATAACATACTAAAGTGTGCTTTCTCTTCAATTTTTAAAAAATATATTATAAAATTAGATGCAATTATGTACAGTTTAAACCTTCGGCCAGAACATATAACAAAGGCTGTTCTTAAAAATGGCATGCCATTGTTTCCATGTCCCCCCAATGAAGGTGAGAGGGAGCTCCAGATAGAAAGGATTATTTCTGAAAAGAATCTGACTTCACGACAAGTAAAATGTATAATCTAATTTCATTTTTTGAAGAACCAAAATCACAAATACGAAGTATTGAGGGGGGTGGGTAGAAGCAGGTATGATGATGAATGTGATTGATAAATAGCATTTCATGAAGGCAGCCTTATGCTGACAAACTTCTTACAGTTGGATAATTACATGTCTTCAGCATTAAAAACAGGAAAAACACAAACAAAATACCTGACCTTAAAACAATCCAGCATTAGTGAAAGCAATGATAAAAAGCAAAAGAATGCCTCATGTAATTTTTTTTAAAAAACTGTAGAATGTTGGTTCTTTCCCATGCCTGATTTCCCAAAATATACCTACTTGTTTTTAAAATATTATGTACACTAAAGGTTCTCTACTGCTGTAGAAAATTTAAGGGGTCTTAAATATCTGTAGCTGGCAATTATTATGCAAAATAATTCCACCAGTTCTAATGTATATTGATTTGATGGAAACAAAAGAAAAGAAACACAATAGAACAGAACAGAACAAAACAGATCCTCAATATTTGAGTTGGATTATGAGAAGATTGGGAAAAATTATGATGATGTAATACTAGAAAAGTACAATCTGACTTACTCCTTCTATTTAATAGACTCAAATGAATGAATATGGGAAGATTGATATATATGTGTGTGTGTGTGTGTGTGTGTGTGTTTTCTGAGGTG